GCTGTCTACGCTCTCTACAAACACAAGTGTCATAGGATTTCCACTTCGCCATCCTGCTTTGCGGTTTCTTCGGCATTCGCGATCCTTCGCGGTTTGTCTGTAGCAATTTTTGTGGTCGCTGTCCGACAGGGAATGCAGTTCGGGATCGCAGATTCTTGTCGACTTTGTCCCGTTGTCGTTGCTTCCAACCAAGCAATATCCCCGGTTTACGCGAGTCTCGACAGCGCAATAGGGATATTTGGGGAAGGTTGCTCCGCTATAGCTATGCAAGCATGCGACAGGGAATGCACTGAACTCACATGCTTGGAGGATTCCTCTGGAGAGCCTCAAGGTTGGAACGGAGGTGGATGCCCAGATCCTGGCCAAACATAGATTCAGCGGCTGGCTCCTTGCTCACGTTTCTGCAGTAGAGAGCTTTTCCTTTTGCCTGCATCGAAGTTTAGTGAAGAATTCGGCTTCATCTGCTGCTCAGGTTTGTCAACATTGGCACAGAGAGGTCAGCCTTTCTTGAGTTCGAGGAAGCTTGCGATGGCTTCCCTACCGAGGGCATGAACACGTGGCGTCGCCTGCCATCGATCATTGGGTAATGTGATTAGATGATATCAGTATGCTTACAAGGCCCTTTCATTGCATTGCTGCACTGTGCTCGACCTTCTCATCCGAGTTCGTGGATCGACACTGACAGCCCGTGTGCTGGCACCATGGCTTCCCCAAGTTACAGAGACGGGTTTGGATGGCATGCGAGACAGATAGAGATAAAGATAGAGTTCATGGCCGAGTGGCAGGAGTGTCGTTGGGAAAAGGTTTGGGAGAAGGCGACAGGCAGGTCAAGGCGGGTTGTCCTAAGACCTCAAGAGGGGCGATTCTACATGTTGTCAGTGTAACGCGAGAGACGGGCACTCCGTGCGGCACAGAAGACTCGGCAACTAGGCAACTTGGAGTGGACAGCATTTGGCAGCGATGGACTCGTTGGCTGACACTCAGAGCGCAGCTGCAAAAGGAAGGGCGCTGAGAGAACCCGCAGTGGCCGACCGGGCAAGCTCACGGAGCTGCTCGTGCTTGGCTTTGGGCACCCGGAAGAAGGGAAAGGAAAGGCGTTCATTCGGGGGGGGGGGGGTCGATGCACATAATTTGGGGGAAGTGCTGTGAACACGTCGACGTCTAAATTTTCACTCCCTCTGAATGCTTACAACACGGGATGACACGGCTCGGCCTGGTGTGCTTTGTGCTTGGCTCGTCGATTCGGCTCGAAAGAAGAAGAGAGAGAGAGTGCAAGAAGAAAGTTGCATGATGCTGCGTGTAAGATTTGTGGGCAAATAGCTTGCGCAGGGCCCGGCGAGGAACCTATCCGGGGTCAGTGCATTGCATTTGGCGGGCCAGGAGCGCATGTTCTACAACTGGCTTCTAAGCCTTGTCTCACGCCGACCAGACTTGTTGGACCTCCTATCGCGCTGGAAGGACGGAAGGGAGGGCGTAGCCCCATCCTTTAGGCCTGCAGAACGGAAGATGCTATAATCAGGCCCCCGGAAGGGCGGAAGGGGGGTTCGGGGCCCCCGGCCCTTCGTCTAGAAAGAGTAAGAGCCTGCAGAAAGAACAAAAGCTAGAATCCGCGTATACAGAAATCCGACGTGCGAAAAAGATGGTTGTGCGACGGTCTGAGCAGGGGCATTGACGTGTGTGTCAACACCTTAGTCATTCGATGCCTGCCATCTGACCATATGGGACCATCTCGGTGTGGGTTGGCTTTCGTGTGCCACTTGCCTCTGAACAGAGATTGTGGAGGAGTTGCTGCACCTACTGCCCGGAACACTGGTTTCAACATTTTTGGTTCAGCCTTGGTGTTCTGTTGCCACGACCTGATACTTTGCGAAGAGCCGCCACAACATGCCACCCTGTGGGCAACCCAAACGGCTCGGAAAAGGCTGTCTGCCTCCCCTGTTCGCGATTCCATGCAGCGGAGGATGTCTCAGGCTTATGAAGAGAAGATTGAAGCAGAGCTCAGCTAGCACTGAGTTACTCCTGCGTGATATTCTCTTGACAGTTGGCTGCAACTCGGGAACCGCTGAGATTTTCAAAAAGTGAGCCGAAACCTTGGTGGGAGTTCCTTTTCTGAATATCTCCGTTTGCCGTCCGGACTCCGGGCTGTGAGTGCCTTTTTTCTAGCAGGCCCATGCTCCAACCTTCCGCTTGAAGAAGACCCTCCGCTTTCTGAGGAGAACGACGGCAAGAAGATTTGGCTAACGACCCGTAGCGGGAGCTTGGAGCGTCCGAAGCGCACCTCAGCTACCATACACGAAATGTGTCAGTCCTGATTAGTGTGATGCAGCCTGTCTCGAAGGGAGCATACCAGGTACAGGTGGCCTAGACTGGCAGGTCATGGGACTTGAGATCAATCATCCAAGGCTTTCGGACACCTCCCGAGGAAAGCCAAATAGCAGAGTTCAGCGATTGGGCGGCAGTCGGCGAGTCGCGGTAGCCCACTCGAAACGGTTCTGTTCTGATTCTGTTCTGCTGCACACCTGGATCCAGCCGCCCCACTTGACGATCTACCGAAAACAAGTTGGACCGCTGTTGAGAGAACCCTGACCTAAGGTGGAATTTCGTCGGAAGAGCCTTCACTGCAACTATTTGCCAATTGTCCACCACCTTATTCATTCTGATTATGATTATGAGAAGTTCCAGTGTCCACCACCCTATTGATTCTGATTATGAGAAGTTCCAGTATCCCAATCCGAGTCCACCACCTTCACATGCTTCGAACTTCGAACCAACTGAACCACTGAACATCGCTGACTTCCTCTTGCCAGTGCTCTTTCTGTCCGCAGTTAGCGGGATCAAGTTTTAGATGGAGAGTTTCCGCATGCCATGCCTCGGGACTGGGTGCGTAAGGCTCGCATCCGCACGTGATGATCTCATGCGATCTTGCTCGTTCCCTGCTGTCGTTTTGGAAGGCACCCCGAACAGGATGGTCACCTTGGCATGGTTCTACCGCCGCTTGGCCTTGAGGATACAGTCGCCGAATTAACGTAGGCCAGACCTTCGGTTGACTTTTGTACAGGCAGTCGGCGATTTCGCGCGAAAGGAGGAGGTGAGGCCCCTGGAATCTGTCGAAGCCCCTTGGCGCATCAGGGCTCATCCGAAAGGGCGAGAAAAAGAGCGAAGCCACTGCTCAGACAAGCGAGGCTGGAGAAGAGGCAGAGGCGGAGGAGGAGATAAAGGAGACGACATGGAATTCTCTGGAGGCAGAGACTGAGGTGAAGCTTGAAAGCCGTGCTGAGCAGGCCGGTCTGTTCACTCAAGCTTTTCAATCTTCAAATGCCTTGAGCCGAGGAGGTGGGAAATTGTGAAACAGAGCAATGGGGCGTGCCGCCTGGGTTCAATGTGAGTGCGCCACCGTGGGAATGGTCAGGAGCTGGCAGTTGGCTCCTCACAACAACTTCTTCAACTTTTTTTCATTTTGCTGCCCTATGGATTCCTTCCTGCCTTGCCACTGCATCCGAGCTATCAAGCTGCAAGGCTTCCCGAGGACAGCGCAGACGCAGGTTTGCGAGATGATGTTCCACTGAACATGTGGCTGCCTAGCTGTTTCAGCGGTTTGGTGCGCCTGCTTGCGAGGCAGCCGGCAGGATTTGAACAAGTTTTCACGAACCTACTAGACGATACAGTGCGGCCAAGGTATGGGGAAGATGGCGAGTGGTACGCGGACAACTTCTTTGGCCCAGCGCCTTGATCTGCCTCGACCTAGGGCTTGCATAGAATATGGGAATGTCATGGAATGTCTGGAGCTATGGTCTGAAAAGTGCCACCCGCCATCGTTGAACCGGTGTTTGACTTGTTGATGAAGTGTGGGGTGCTGTGATGTGAAGCCTATGATACAACAGATACATGCAGCTTGGGGTAGCGGTGTAGTGGGCATGTGGATGTCTGTGGCATGCCCTGGCATGTGCCTCGCGAGATAGTCTGCAGGCCCAGGCTCTTGTTTGCATGCGTAGCAGTCAAGACCGGGCCGGTGCAGAGCACCACCCAGGCTATGTGGGGAAGCTACGAAGAAGGTGCTGACGGCTTCATTGGACGTCGTCATGGGCAGGTGCGCAGGAAAAGCTTGGAAGCTTTTCATGCCCTTGCCATTGCACTTTTGCGTGCGGAGTTCCATCTGGAGTCCTAAAGACCCGGTTGATTCTGCTCGTTTGCACCGCTCTGACTAGGTGCCGAAGCGCGCAAATCTGAAGGAGCAGTTCGAGAAAGAACAGTTCGAGAAAGGCTCGTTATCCCCAGGGAGAGGGAACAACACATCGCACAGGGATTGTGAGAGACAGAGAGAGAGAGAGATCCGGGGGCTCGTCCTCCCTTGCCCCTAACCCTGACGAAAGAAAAAAAGAAAGAGAGAGAGAGATCACAAAATCAAGCAGGGACCAGCAAAAAGTCATGTAGGGATCAACACAAAAAAGTCAAACTCAGAAAAGCAGTAAATTACAGTGTTTGCAGCCGTGAACACTTGCAAGCTGGTATTTCTCTCCTACAGGGAAAGAGGGCGGGATCTACTACCAATATTACTAGTGCTGCTACTACGACCGCCGCTACTCCGACGACGATTGCCACTGCTGTTGCTACTTGCTACTTCCTGTCATCAACAGAAACGACAATGACCACCACTATCACTACCACTACCACTGCCACTACTACTGCCACTATCACGACCACCACCACCACCACCAC